TTTGCGCTGTAAACTTTCACCTAAAGCACAATAATAATTTAAAAAAACAACAACAACTGTAGACTCTCTTTAAATTAGGAACAAATTTAAAAGTAATCCTTCCTTAAAATAAAGTTATTTTACAAATGAAAAAAACAAAAAACCCTTTAGAGCACAGTTCTACTCTGAAACACATAAGTTAGAATTGACTCCACAGCCATGAGTTAGAATTGAGTTGATGACAACTAGTATATATATATTATGCACACACACACATGCACACATACATACACACACACCTATATAGCTGAATTAAGTATTATTGAGTGGCAGACCACACTTTGAGGTCCATAGCTCAGATGAGCAACAAAGTTTGATAAAAATAGTTTGCTTACATTTCATTCTTTCATTCTTCCATTCTCTTCCTTTTGCTTCCCTGTTTACTTCCCTCCACGATTCAAGGATGACAGATAAAAAGCAAATGTGCCATCTTGCTCTCCTTACAACCCCATGGAAGACTTGTTAGTCAGACATGGCATTTTTTCCTGGTTAAGTTCAGGATGTAGCCACAGAATCCTTTTTAATACCAACTGGTCAAAATGGGCATTCAGCAATCTACTCCTGGGTGAATACTCAAGAGAAATGAGAACTTCACCAAAAGACACGTACAAGAATTTTTCTGGCGGCTGTATTCCCAATAACCCCAAACTGGAAACAACCCAAATGTCTATCAACAGTAGAATAGATAAATATAGTGTGGTATATGTGTGTAATGAAATACTCTACAGCAGTGAAGGATGAACTACTGATACACACCATTTGAATGAATGCATCTCACAGACATAGTGTACAGTGAAACAATTAGATATAAAGGAGGCACACTATATGAGTCTATTCATATGCAGTTCAAAAACAGGCAAATCTCATCTATGGTGACAGAAGCCAAGATAGTGGTTACCCTTGGGGGAAACTGACTGAGGGGGAATGAAGAAGTCTTCTAGGGGCTAGAAATGTTTTGTATCTTGTTGTTGGTCATGGTTTCATGGATGTGCACAAATGCAGAAATTCATCAAGGTGTACACTTAGGACTGGCACACTTTGTTGTAGTTATCTCTCATTAAAAAGTCCTTAAATGGGGCACCAATTTGAAAACTATTGCCAGTTCTGCTCGTCTGTTTCTGTGTATAAAGAGCACAAGCTCTTGAGTCTGACTTTGGATTCAAAGCCAGGCTCTGTCCCCTGTGTAGCGTATGTAAATGTACTTTAGTTTCTCACCCATATACCTGACCCAGTGCCATCAAGTTGATTCCGACTCATAACGACCCTGCAGGACAGAGTAGAACTACCTCATAGGGTTTCCAAGGCTGTAAATCTTACGGAAGCAGACTGCCACATCTTTCTCCTGCTGCTGGTAGGTTCGAACTATCGACTCTTCGGTTAGCAGCCAAGTGCTTAACCACTGTGCAAACAGGGCTTCTCTCTCACAGATATAAACCCATTGCCTTCAAATAGAGTCTTTTTTTTTTTTAATTGTTGTGCTTTAAGTGAAAGTTTACAATTCCAGTCTCTCCTACAAAAATTTAAACATACATTGTTACGTGACCCTTGTTGCTCTCCCTATACTGTACAGCACACTCCTCCTTTCCACATCAGATTTCCCATGTCCATTAAACCAGCTTCTGACCCTCTCATCTCGCCTGGACAGAAGCTGCCCATTTAGTCTCATGTATCTACTTGAGCTAAGAAGCACACTCTTCACAAGTATCATTTTATGTCCCATGGTCCAGTCTAAACTTTGTCTGAAGAGTTGGCCCCGGGAATGGTTTTAGTTTTGGGCTAACAGAGTCTGGGGGCCATGTCTTCCAGGGTCCCTCCAGTCTCAATCAAACCATGAAGTCTAGTCTTTTTACTAGAATTTAAATTCTGCACCCCATTATTCTCCTGCTCCGCCAGGGACTCTCTGTTGTGTTCCCTGTCAGGGCGGTCATCAGTGGTAGCTGTTCGCCATCTAGTTCTTCTAGTCTCAGGCTGATGAAGTCTCTGGTTTATGTGGCCCTTTCTGTCTCTTGGGCTAATACTTTCCTTGTATCTATGGTGTTCTTCATTCTCCTTTACTCCAGGTGGGTTGGGAACAATTAATGCATCTTAGATGGCCGCTTGCTAGCTTTTAAGACCCCAGACACCACTCGCCAAAGTAGGATGCTGAACATTTTCTTAATAAACTTTGTTATGCCAGTTGACCTAGATGTCCCCTGAAACTATGGTCCCCAGACCCCTGCCCCTGCTACTCTGTCCCTCGAAGTGTTTGGTTGTATTCAGGAAACTTCTTAGCTTTGGTTTAGTCCAGTTGTGCTGACTTCCCCTGTAGTGTGTGCTGTCCTTCCCTTCACCTGAGATAATTCTTGTCTACTATCTAGTTAGTGAATACCAGTCTCCCTCCCTCCCCACCCTCATAACTATCAAAGAATGTTTTCTTCTGTGTTTAAGCCTTTTCTTGAGTTCTTGTAATAGCAGTCTTACACAATATTTGTCCTTTTGCGACTGAGTAAATTCATTCAGCATAATGCCTTCCAGATTCATCCATGTTATGTTTCATGGATTCATTGTTGTTCTTTATAGTTGTGTAGTATTCCATTGTGTGAATATACCATAATTTGTTTATCCATTCATCCATTGATGGGCACTTAGGTTGTTTACATCTTTTTGCTTTCGTGAACAGTGCTGCAGTGAACATGAGTGTGCATATATCTGTTCGTGTGATGGCTCTTATTTCTCTAGGATATATTCCAAGGAGTGCGATTGCTGGATCATATGGTACCTCTATTTCTAGCTTTTTAATGAAGTGCCAAATTGATTTCTAAAGTGGTTGTACCATTGTACATTCCCACCAACAGTGTATAAGTGTTCCAGTCTCTCCACAACCTCTTCAACATTTATTATTTTGTGTTTTTTGGATTAAAGCTAGCCTTGTTGGGGTGAGATGGTATCTAACTGTAGTTTTGATTTGCATTTCTCTAACGGCTAATGATTGTGAGTATTTACTCATGTGTCTGTTGGCTGCCTGAATGTCTTCTTTGGCAAAGTGCCTGTTCATATCCTTTGCCCATTTTTTAATTGGATTATTTGTCTTTTTGTTGTTGATGTTTTGCAGTATCTTGTGGATTTTAGAGATTAGACGCTGATCAGATTCGTCATAGCCAAAATTTTTTTCCCAGTCTGTAGGTTATCTTTTTACTCTTTTGGTGAAGTCTTTTGATGAGCATAAGTGTTTGATTTTTAGGAGCTCCCAGTTATCTAGTTTCTCTTCTGGGTGTTTGTGTATGGTTAGTAATGTTTTATATTGTGTTTATGCCAGGTATTAGGGCTCCTAGTGTCCTCCCTATTTTTTCTTCCATGATCTTTATTGGTTTAGATTTTATATTTAGGTCTTTGATCCATTTTGAGTTAGTTTTTGTGCCTGGTGTGAGGTATGGGTCTTGTTTCAGTTTTTTGTAGATAGGTATCTAGTTATGCCAGCACCATTTGTTAAAGAGACTGTCTTTCCCCCAGTTAATGGACTTTGGGCCTTTGTCAAATATCAGCTGCTCATAGGTGAATGAATTAATGTCTGGATTCTTAATTTTGTTTCATTGGTCTATGTATCTGTTGTTGTACCGGTACCAGGCTGTTTTGACTACTGCGGCAGGTAGTGTGAGGCCTCCAACTTTGTTTTTCCTCTTCAGTAATGCTTTACTTATCCAGGGCCTTCCCATATGAAGTTGGTGATTTGTTTCTCCATCTTATTAAAAAATGCTGTTGGAATTTGAATCAGGATTGCATTCTATCTGTAGATCACTTTGAGTAGAATAGACATTTTCACAATGTTCAGTCTTCCTATCCATGAGCAAGGTATGTTTTTCCACTTATGTAGGTCTCTTTTGGTTTCACCTTCAAATAGATTCTGACTCATAGTGACCCTGTAGGACAAAGTAGAACTGCTCCATAGGGTTTCCAAGGAGTGGCTGGTGGATTTGAACTGCCAGCCTTTGGGTTAGTAGCCGAGCTCTTAACCACTGTGCCACCAGGGCTCCCTCACACATATAGAGGGGAAAAAAATCATACATACTTTATAGACTGTTCTAAGGATTCAGTGAGATAATGCATGTAAAATGCTTCATAGAACACCTCCTGTACATTTAAAGCACTCATGAAATACGATGTGGTGACTTTGTTTCTCTTCTGACCGTCTAGTTCTTCCTCATGCTTTTTTCTCTTCTGCTCTCCTTCTTTCTTCCTTTGCTCTTCCTTTCATCTCCACCTTCTATTAAAAACCTAAAACATGAAGTTAAAGTACATATCATGTAAAATTTATTGAATACAACTTTATAGTTACTCATCATTAAAAAGCAGGCACATTTAGTATTTTCTATTTCTCTCTTTAAAACAAGCTCCACTTTCATAGACGAAGATATTATTTCTATTTGGCCGTCAGTGGATTAACTCAGTGGTTCCCAAACTTGTCTGCACATTTGAATCACCTGGTGATCCTATAAATCTTCCAAACCCCAGGCCACATACCAGACCAATTAAATCACAATATCTGGGCATTAATAAATATCACAGGCATCAGTAGTCATTGAAGCTCCCCAGATGATTATAGTATGATTCCAATGTGCAGATAAATTTAGGACTACTGGATTAATGGCTTTCTATTTCTACCTTTGATAGTGTCTCAGCCACTTCAGCATATAGTTCTGAATCTTGACTGCACATTAAAATCACCTTGGAGCGTCTAAGATAATGATGCTCAGACTCTACCCTTGGTAACGCCTGGATATTTCTAACATACAACCAGCATTAGGAGCCACTCTTCTGGAGGGATTTGTGTCCTAGTAGATTCTGTTATCATGACAACTCCAGGTAGCCCCCAGTGTTCCCCTCAAATATAAAATACTTTCTCCTGTCCTTGTCCCCATTCTGTTGCAAATTGAATATGGTGAAGTGTGATGTAACTCTAAGTTCTTGGTTTGTTTTACCCTCAGTTTGGGATTGTGTTTGATGCGGGCTCTTCTCACACGACCATGTACATCTATAAGTGGTCAGCAGAAAAGGTGAATGACACAGGGTTGGTGTATGAGATAGAAGCCTGCAAGGTCAAAGGTAAGATGAAAAAAAGGGGAGGGGAAGGAAGTTGGGCATAAGACCATGAGAAGTATGGCGAGTGGAACACAAGAGGAAAAGATACCCAAAGTATAGGAAGTCAAGTGGAGAACATAGTGGAATGTCTATTGTTGTTTTTTTATTATCCTTATAGAAAATATCAAAATCAGTCCTTACTGAATAAGCATTAGCTTATCGAAGAATAAGCAAAGTTAAGGATAATTTTGTAGTAGTAGATCCCATTAATGGAACAATTCTGTGTGCTGGGTACTAAGTAAATACTGAATGTGCATTATCTCCTTTCATCCTCAGAATCTGTCTTTGAAATATGTATTATTATTTCCATTTTTTAAATGAGAGAATTGAGGTTGAGAAGAGGATATATCACTTGTTCAAGGTTACTTGTGCTACTAAGTGATGGAGCTGGAGTTCAAACCAAGGATTCAAACCCATGCTCTTAACCAGTGGTTCTCGAACTTGAACCTACAACATAATCACCTGTTGTTGTTGTTGGCTGTCGTCAAACTGGCCTTCGACTTAGCAGCTCCGTAGAAGATAGGCCTGGGAAACTATTCCATAAAGACTATAGCCAAGAAAACCCTATGGCGTGGTTCTACTCTGTAACACATAGGGTCACCAGGAGAATCACCTGTAGGGCTTGTTAAAACACAGATTCTGAGCCCCACCACCAGGGTTTCTGATTCGGTAGGTCTGGGGTAGGGCCTGACAATTTGCATTTCTAACAAGTCCCCAGGTGATGCTGATGCTGCTGGTTCAGAGAATTACTGCTCTTAATCATTGTTCTCTAATTTACAGCCTGGAAGAAATTTTCTAAAACTTTTAGCTTATGTGTAGGTAGAGAGGAGCCCTGGTGGTTTAGTAGTTAAAACGCTCAGCTGCTGTCTTAGTCATCTAGTGCTGCTATAACAGAAATACCACAAGTGGATGGCTTCAACAAACAGAAGTTTATTCTGTCACATTCTAGTAGGCTAGAAGTCCAAATTCAGGGCGCCAGCTCCAGGGGAAGGCTTTCTCTCTCTGTTCGGTCTGGGGGAAGGTCCTTATCATCAATCTTCCCCTGGACTAGGAGCTCCTCTGCGCAGGAACCTGGGATCCAAAGGATGCACTTTGCTCCTGGCACGCTTTCTTCGTGGTATGAAGTCCCCCTGTCTCTCTGCTTGCTTCTCTCTTTTGTATCTCAAAACTCAAAACACAAACCAATCTTGTAGATTGAGTCCTGCCTCATTAACATGACTGCTGCTAATCCCATCTCATCAACATCATAGAGATAGGATTTACAACACATAGGAAAATCACATCTGATGACAAAATGGTGGACAATCACACAATAATGGGAATCATGGCCTAGCCAAATTGATATACCTATTTTTGGACACAATTCAGTCCATGACAGCTGCTAATCAAAAGGTCAGGGGTTTGAACCTACCATCCCCTCCGTGGGAGAAAGATGTTCCAGTCCACTTCTGTAAAGATTCACAGCTTTGGGAATCCTATGGGGCAGTTCTGCTCTGTCCTATAGGGTTGCTATGAGTCAGAATCAACCCGATGGCAGTGGGTTTGGTTTTTTGGGTGAGTGGGCAGAGAAAACCAAATTATAGGTTCAGAGACTAATCATAGAGTCTTAGGGCTGGAAAAAGGACCTTATGGATTATTTATTTTACAGAAAAGAAAATAAAAACCTAGAAGATTCCTGTAAACCCATCATTCTAGAGTCAATTCAGGCTCATAGCCACCCTACAGGGCAGAGTAGAACTGCCCCATATAGTTTCAAAGGAGCAGCTTGTGGATTCAAACTGCTTACCTTTTGGTTAGCAGCCGAGTTCTTAACTACTGCGCCACCAGGGCTCCCCTAGAAGATTAATGACTTGGAAATAGCAACAGAACATGGATAAGATTCTAGGTCTCGTAACTGCACTTTGGGCTTCCTGCTACTCTGATTCTCTACATTACATATTGATACTTTTTTCTGGGTAGTTTCCTTTAAGGTCATAAAACAAGTTAGAGTTGTTGACAGTCATCTCTCTCTGTTCCCTTCCACCCAACACCCCTGCATGCTTCACACATGACCACACTGCACCATAATCTCTCTGATCTTTGTCTCTCTTGGCATTTTGAGCCAAGGACCCGCTGTTTATTTTTAGTCAGACAGGTGAGGTAGACCGCAGAAGATAATTGACTTTTAGTTTGATGGCCTATAGCATCCACTACTGTAGTTTGTCAAGAAAGCAATAGAGAGGAGATGGTTCCAACAGAGAAAGTCATTTTACTCAGTAGGCCGGTGCCTTGAAACTTGGCCCCATCAATATTGAGACAGTACTTCTAACATTTCTTAAAGCTCAGATCCCTCATTTTATTGGCTTGTTTAATTAATTCACTGCTTTCTATTTTTTAGAGTATTTTTGTTTTAATCTAGCAGATGTCTTTCTTCTGAGATTCATCCAATGAGTGTTTGGCCTAACAAATAAAGTAATTTTCCCCTCTTAAAAGAAAGAGTTGTCTCCTTTATTTAATCAGATATTTAGATAGGAAGATGATCTGAAAATTACCAGTCCTTGAAGGCCAGACTTTCTGAATTGAAACAGCTAATTGATAATTTAGAGCTGATTTTTCTCATTATAGTTAATAAACAGGCTATTTAAAACCTGTGAATGCCCTAGATAACTTATCTAGATATTTACCTTTAAAGCAAATACTCACTATAAAGCACTGATATTTTTAAGATACATTTAAGATATGTTTATCTTAAAATGAAACAAAAATGTTAAGTGTAAATTCAAAAAGCTTAAGGAAACTTGGCTCTAATTCCCTCCATTATAACAGTTTTACTCTAAAACTGGAAAAATAGTTTTACTAGAGAGGCAGGGTATCAGAGTAGAAAATCACTGAGGAGACATGGATTCTACTCCTGGTTCTTCTGACAAAGGAAGAAACCCCAGTTCAGAAATTGTAGGGGACTAGCCATGATCACAGAGCTAGTTTGTAGCAGCTACCACCTTTTCTATAAAAGCCAACGTGCCTGCTGCTTACTTTAATTTTTGTTCTAAATGTCATGTTTCTCTCTTTATGTCTTCTAGGAGCTAGTTTTGTTAATTACAGTTTTGTGGAAGAAACATCAACAGGCAGCTCTGTAAAGTAGCTATCTATAAGATCCCCATTAAAATCTGAGAGAATGTGCTAGGAAGGTTATGCAATTGAATATGAGAATCTCGCCATCCAGTGTCAAAATTATTGAGCAGCAGACAGACCCAGCCCAAGGTCTGAAAAGAAATCCTGTCAAAGCTAGGCACCCTCTAAATACAGCTATCTAATACATATCACATTAAATAATTAATCGTTTACTTGCATGTGCTCATCAGACACTGGTATTTCTTCAGATATTGGCAAGTTATAAAAGCTTTATGTTTGAAGAAGTATGCCCTATACTTTTTTTAAAAAAAATAAGGATTGCCATCTTCTTTTACACCTTTCTCGAGGTCCTGGAATCTCAGCATTTGCTTCGAATGTACAAGATATACCTGTTTACCTGAGTAAATGCATGGGAAGAGCCAAGGAGCTGATTCCAAAGTACAAGCACCATCAGACACCTGTTTACCTGGGAGCCACAGCAGGCATGAGGTTGCTCAGGTATAGCAAGCAGCAAACATGTGGAGACCAAGAGCAACTGGGAGTTAGATTTGGCAGTGCAAGAGCCTCTGAAGTAATGGGAGAGTGCCACAATTTCCTAACACCCCAAATTTTACACATTCCAAATGTCTGCACCTAAGAAAGAAAATGTCAATAAGTGAATAGTAATCCTAATCTCTTAGTATGTGTAATGATGGGATTTTAAGCATATCAAAAAGCCCTCTTGCCCATCTCCCCATGGGGAGCTCAAGAGTAGGGCACAGAGAGAGGGAAGGATTGAGCCTATGTTCTCTGGGATTTGGGGCTACAGATTTGCCATTTAATATCTGGGAAGGAGGATCAGAGGAGACTAATCCCAAGTGCTATGGGAGCTCACTTGTCCCTGACCAGGATGAGAGGAGGTGAAGAAGACTTACTCGAGGAAGGGACACTTGAGCTGAATCATAAAGGAAGACTAGAGGATAGGGGAGGGGTATTACAGGCAGAGAAGATAGCATGTGGTCAGTAACCAATGTTTGTTTAGCACCTATTATGTGTTAGGCATAAGGAGCCCTGGTGGCACGGTGGTTAAGCATTTGGTGGCTAACTGAAAGGTCGACACTTCAAACCCACCAGTGGCTCCGTGGGAGAAAAGACCTGGCGATCTGCTCCTGTAAAGATTACAGCCTAAGAAACCGTATGGGGCAGTTTTACTCTGTCATATAGGGTCACTATCAGTTGGAATTGACTCAACAGCACACAACAACAACAACATGTGTTAGGCAGGAGCCTGGGTTGCGCAAGTGGTTTGCAATTGGCTTTGAACCTAAAGGTTGACAGTTCAAACCCGACCAGTGTCTCCACAGAAGGGAGGCCTGGCTAACTGCATCTGTAAAGATTACAGCCAAGAAAACCCTATGAAGCAGAAGTACTCTGTAACACATTGGGTCCACATGAGGTGGGGCCCGACTTGACGGCAGCTAAAAACAACAACGTGTTAGGAATTATTCTAAGTGCTTGGGATATAGCAGTGAACAGGACAAAGTCCCTGCCACCCTGCAGGGAAGTATGAGAGACCAGAGTATTATTCAAAGGACTATAAAAAGTTCCGTATAGGTAGAACATAGGGTGTTGTTGTTGCTAGGTGCTGTCAAGTTGATGCCAACTCATAGTGACCCTATGGACAACAGAACGAAACACTGCCCAGTCCTGTGCCATCCTCACAGCTGTTATGCTTGAGCCCATTGTTGGAGCCACTGCGTCAATCCATGTCCTTGAGGGTCATCCTGTTTTTCGCTGACCCTGTACTTTACCAAGCATAATGTCTTTCTCCAGGGACTGGTCCCTCCTGATAACATGTCCAAAGTATGTGAGATGTAGTCTCACATCTTTGCTTCTAATGAGGATTCTGGCTGTACTTCTTCCAGTTGTTTGCTCTTTTGGCAGTTCATGGTATAGTCAATATTCTTTGCCAAGACCATAATTCAAAGTTGTCAATTCTTCTTTGGTCTTCCTTATTCATTGTCCAGCTTTTGCATGCATGTGAGGCGAAGAACATAGGGTGCATGCATGTAGTAAAATAATAATAATAGCAGCTAGTATGTATTCAGTCCTTACTATGTTCTTAGCACTGTGCTAAGCACTTAATATATATTGTTTAGTTTGATCAACAACTCTATAAGGTAAGAAATATTTAACCATATGAGGAAGCTGTGGCTTACAACTGTTTAGTATCTCACCCAAGGTCACACACCTAGTTAGCAGTAGCCAGGATTCTAAGTGGAATTCTGAATAGGCAGGGTACAGATCAAGAAGTACCTTGTAGGCCATGCTAGGGAGTTTAGAGTTTATCTTGGAGATAGTGGGAAGCCATTAAAGGAGTTATACAACTGGTGACACTAGAGGAGAAGATTCATTGGAGTGGAGAAAAGCTAGGCCTAAGGAGGCCAGTTGGTAAGGTACTGAAGCCATTCAGATGAGAGATTGCAGGGGTCTAATACCAGATGGATGGCAGCAGTCTCTCACCCAGAGGTACTCATGTTGGATAACCTAGATGTTGGAAAGAATTTCATCCCATCTTCATTTATGACAGCCCTGGAAGACTCCTTCTTTAGGTCTTAAAGTCTCAGACAGTCCCAAGAACCGAGGCATAATATGAAGAAGATTTTTCCCATTTTGGTACCAAGGAAAGTTGGATATCAGTCCCACATCATTTGCCCATGTGCTTCCTACTAGAGCCCTAATTAAAAAACGTCAAGCAGAGCCTGTCTCTGTAACCAGCCAAGAGCCACCAGCAATAGCTAATGTAACAGTCTTCAGCTCAATACACTTTTACCATGGCCACAGTAATTTTAAGAGCCTTTGACAATTGTTTGAACCAGGGAACAACAGAATGAAATTAGTATTTTTGGAAGGCCAACCTGCCAGGGATCGGGAAGATTTGTATCTAGAGAAAAAAACCAAAAACCCATTGCTACTGAGTCAATTTCAACTCATAGCAACCCTATAGGCCAGAGTAGAATGCCCCACTGAGTTTCTAAGGAGCGCCTGGTGGATTTGAACTGCTGACCTTTTGGTTAGCAGCTGTAGCACTTAACCACTACGCCACCAAGGTTTCCAAGAGAGGGAGACAAAGGACTAGTTCTGCACTGTCTAAAAGGAAGATTCCTTATACAGCCATGTGAGGGTGATCCCCATCTCTCTGTTGATTCTCGTGAGTTATGGTTCACTTCCTAGGAGAATTTCCCAGAAACTCTGGCTGAAATAGGTAGATGTTGTCATTAAAACAAAAACAATAACCTTAGCCCTTCCTTTGTGTAGGATGGAAAATGAACAGTCGGCGAAGAGGATCCTGGCTTCGGTGACAAGTTTCCTCAATTCCTACCCCTTTAATTTCCGGGATGCCAGGATCATCTCTGGCTCAGAGGAAGGTGCTTATGGCTGGATTACCATCAACTATCTGTTGGGAAAATTACAGAAGGTGAATACCTCATAGCACCCATGGGGCAGCTCCCTGGAGGCCGATACAGTTGCTATCTTGGGCAGTACTTGGGTCACTAGCCAGAACAAATGATGGATGAATGAGGGAAAGAACAAATTAATTTCCCACCACATTTGTAACATCACCAGAGGTATAATTCTCTTACAAGAATGTCTACTACTGGAATAAGGAAGTCATATCTTCACTTTAATAAGCCTGCATTTAGTGATTTGTAGTTGAGAGACACAAAGGAAATTTAAAAACTATCATTAAAAATAAGAGTAGCTAATATTTGCATAGTGCCAGGTGCCCTGTGCTATGCTGAGCACTTCACATGTACTATATGATTTCATTCTTAGAAATATCTTCTGAGGTGCTATTATTACCCCCGCTTTAGGGCTCCAAATTGAGGCCTCGAGGGAGTAATTAATATCTCCAAGGCCGCATAGCTAATGAACAATTGAGTAGGAGATTTGAACCCAAGTCTGTCTGTTCATAGAGCTCTTGTCTGTAAACACTGTTCTATATACTCTGGAGCCCTGGTGGCACCGTGGTCAACAGTTCAGCTGCTAACCAAAAGGTCGGCAGTTCGAATCTACCAGCTACTCCTTGGAAACCTATGGGGCAGTTCTACTCTGTCCTATAGGGTCGCTATGAGTTGGAATTGACTTGACGGCAAGGGGTTTGGTTTATTGTTTTTTTAGTTTGTATACTGCTTCTGCGTTGCTGCAGCCTAAGATCTGTTTTTGAAGTCCCTCATTTCTTGCCATTAATCTGATACAGACTCAGGACCCTTCAGTGAGTGTTCCCTCACCATTATGCCCCTGTTCCTTTGCCTTCTGAAGTCCTTGAGTCCAAGAAATAGTGCAAACGGGGGTGTCCAGAGACCTCTATCACCCAATGGCTGTACTCTCTTTCAGAAACAAAATTCTGAAGACCCGTCTTCGAGAAAAAATGAGAGTCAGGAAACCTATGGAGCCTTGGACCTTGGGGGAGCCTCCACGCAAATCACTTTTGTGCCCAAAGATACAAATATCAGCTCTCCAATCAAATTTATGCAATTTCGCCTCTATGGCTGGAACTACACTGTATACACATACAGCTTCTTGTGCTATGGGCAAGATCAAGCACTCTTGCTGAAACTGGCCAAGGACACTGTGGCAAGTATAACTAAATCCAGACCTGCCCTGCTCACATCTGGGCCACCAGCCCCCATATCCTGTTGTTTTCTCTTTCTAATTCAGTAATTGGTCTGAAGTTGGTTACCATGCTTTCCAAACCTTTTTCCCAGTCTAGTACCAAGGAAAGTTGAATATCAGTCCCATATCATTTGCCCAAGTAGTTCCCACTAGATCCCCAATTTCAGGCAGAATATCTAACTACATCTGGTCGACCCCTATGAATTGTTCCATCCAGACATCACCTCCTGAGTTTGTTTATTGCACTATCTCCAAGGACACTACTCAATTACTTTCTTAGGAAATAATTTCTCACCCCTATGGTGTTGACAATGAAAATTACATGCTAGAGTATTGGGGGGGGGTGTACAATTGATAAGGTCTTCTAGATCACTTTTAAATCTCCATTTCCTACAAATTGCAGAAAACAGTGTTGTTAGAAACAACCCAGGGAGGAGGAGAAAAAAACACTTCAGGGAAAACAGAGTTTATCAATGAACACTTCAAGTTTTATCCGCAGATACATTCTACATTTTGAAGGCAAGAAGAGTTAAACATGCTCAGCATCGTGCAAGTACCAAGCACACTCTGACAAACAGTACAGAGCAGGGATATCACATCTAGCTGTTTCTTGTCTTCACTGAAAGGACGGCCAGTCCTCTGCTCTCCTCTAAGGCTCTTTTACAGGTTCTTAGAATCACTATCAATAAGATGACCACCATAGGAGTAGGGGTTGCTGAGAGTTGCCCAGTGAACCCCAATGTTACATTAAGCCTCTTATCTACAACAGCCCCCTTTCTTCTCTTATACATATTGGGTGGTGGGCTAAAAATCATTTTGATACTCCTAGATTAGATGATCTAAGGCATCTTTCAGCTCTTGGAGCTTCTAATTTTCTGCCTGGAGTAGGGGTATGCAGGCTCCTGTAGAACTACCCAGGCTCAAAATTATTGAGAATTTTTTGAGTGAATCTGCTCCTGACTTACGTGCTTAGGGCTAAGCACTCAAGGACATTCTAGGTTAATCGCATCTCTGGGTCCAGTTTTCTGTGAATAGCCAAAGTGCATTTATATCTGATAGCGCTTCTAGTGCCTGTTATACAAATCTGATTATTCCCAAGGGTGAAAAAAGGCAGAGAAAGGACATATTAATGCCAATGCTCAGTTCTGGGATGTTGTAAGATGGATGAAAAAGGCAGGGCAAGGACATATTGATGCCACTGCTCAGTGCTGGGATATGGTAAGATGCCTGCACATAGATGAAGTCAGACTGTTGCCTTTTGTACCCAAAACATTTACACATGATGCCTTCAATTGATTTTTCCATTCAGGAAACACCATCAGGAACCCTCTTGGACCCATGCTTTCACCCCGGATATGAGAGGATGGTGGACATAAGTGACCTTTTCAACAACGTCTGCACCAGGGAATATAAGGATTTGTTTCCATTCGATAAGCTTAGAATCCAGGGCACTGGAGACTTTCTACAATGCCAGGAACGCCTCCATAATCTCTTCCCCACCACTTATTGCCGTTACACCAGTTGTACCTTCAATGGGGTTTTCATGCCACCAGTCCATGGGGAATTTGGGGTAAGTTTATGAAGTGATAAGGTGTATTGGTGAGGATGATTTTGGCTGCAAAGAGTTTAAATAATAGGATCTATTTTTCTTTCCAAAACTCATTGCTGTCAAGTTGATTCTTTCACATAATAATAAATCTCGAGGTAGATAACTCAGGGTTAGCTCTTCAGATTAACACTATTAGGACTTGAGATGAGCTTCTTCATTATCTTCTTAAATTTCTTGTGATGTTATGATAGTACCTACTATTCTGTGCATCATATCTTCACATACAAAGCCAAAGCTAGAAAGAAGGAAGTTTTCTCACACATATCTTCTTTACATTTTGCAGAGATGGCCAGAACTTAGTGAAAGGCACACCTCTAAACCAATCTGTGATAAAGGGGAATGGATTATGATGGTTATTTTAGACTTACCATTGTTCATGCCCTGGAACTGAAGCGCCTATGTTGAGCACATTGCTGCCCTATACCTAGGCAAAATTAGGATTCTGCAAGTGTCTTAGTTATCTAGTGCTGCTATAACAGAAATACCACAAGTGGATGGCTTCAACAAACAGAAGTTTATTGTCTCTCAGTCTAGTAGGCTAGAAGTCCAAATTCAGGTGTCAGCTCCAGGGGAAGGCTTTCTCTCTGTTGCCTCTGGAGAAAGGCCTTTGTCATCAATCTTCCCCTGGCCTAAGAGCTTCTCAGGTGCAGGGACCCCAGGTCCAAAGGACACACTCTGCTCCCAGTGCCGCTTTCTTGGTGGTATGATGTCCCCATGTCTCTCTGCTCACTTTTCTCTTTTATATCTCAAAAGAGACTGGCTTAAGACACAACCTAATCTTGTAGATTGAGTCTTGCCTTGTTAACATAAACTGCCGCTAATCCCACCTCATTAACATCATGTTGTTGTTGTTAGGTGCCATCAAGTCAGTTATGACTCATAGCGACCCTAAGCAACCACAGAACGAAACACTGTCCAGTCCTGTGCCATGCTCACAATCGTTGTTATGCTTGAGCCCATTGTTGCAGCCACTGTGTCAGTCCATCTCATTGAGGGTCTTCCTCTTTTTCACTGACCCTGTATTT